CATCAGGTCACCCATACCATACTGGTATTCTATAATCCCTTACAAAATTTTATTAAATAATCTTACCACCATTAGAATCTTCTTACTTAATACCAAACCTAGTTCTGGAGCAATTTTTGTTTGCTTACTAATAAATAAGCACCCTTTATTATGCGCGTTATTTTGGACGCACATTGGCGTTATTTTAAAACCACATGTTATTTTTAAAGTGCAATTTTCTAAATAACGCTCATAAGCGTTATTACGCGAAAATACGGTACAGGTTAAAAGATAGCACTGATTTTATTAATATTTGAAAAAAGTTGGATAATAAACACAAGGATTCAATAGATTATAATCACATTTTATTCTTTATTTATTTATTTTTTGGGTAGACAATAAAAACAACCTCTCAAACTCTTTTGAAAACGTCATAAACTCGTTGCCATCTTTATCTTCCCCTTTAGTAATAATATTAAAGCAATTTTGACTCAATTCACCTAATAATAAGTCATTAAGTAACGGATGTAATTGTATTCTATCGTGTGTTAACTTATCGATTATTATTCGGACATCTTATATAGAAATTATAAAGTTGATATAAGCTTAAAAAATATATTGATAAACATATAAAGCTATTATTTACCTTTCGAAATGCTTTCTGTGTCTGATACAAGTTCGATCATCACTGAAACTGTTGCTATCACTCTATACATAACAATAAACACGTTGGGAAGTGAGGTAAAACCAATTGGCCCATTCTTGTTGGTCTTAGTGGAAAAACAAATAGATAAGAAATCATTTAAAAAATTTAACCCAAATACTGTACACAACATAATAAATAATCTAAATACCTGTACTTCGCGTGAACTTATAAACTCGCATACCATGACTAATTGCTTGACACAGAACATTGGAATATCTTTTCTAAACATTTCAGGAAACTCCAATCTATTTCTTTCCTTTTTTATAGCTATTAATAGATACTTATAAGCTAATTGGATATCAACCAAATCTTCTTTATATATATTTGGATTCTCTATAGCAAACAAAACTCTAGATGGAGTCATTTCTGATTTTAATATCTCATCTTTTTGAATAAAAAACAATATTATGAAATATTAGGTTAACATTTGATATTTGTTCTTTAAGTGGGGCATTACGTATAGGAAATTTATACCTGGTTTAACGTCTCTTGTCAATATTTGTAATAACGCTACATATAAATAAAGTGATTTAGAATATTGGTTTGTCATGTATTCATAACATAATTCTCGTGCCCTATCACAATCAACTGGGTCCTTTTAAAAAAAAAATAAAAATAAAAATATGCATAAAAACAAAAAGCTCGTATTTATTTTAAATATCAATGATTTAATAGAATCGGCACCGACCTCCAAACCCATAGCTTTGGATACAATTAATGCAGCAGTTCGACGTATATCAATGTCATCATCCTATTTTGTAAGAAAAAAAAAAATCAGAATTAATGTTTCAAATGAAATAGCCCAATTAAAGTTACCTGAGTAAGTCGAATGAGAGCAATATATAAAGATATAAAATATTGTATATCGTCATTATTAGTGAAAATGGTTTCTTTTTTAAACAGAAGTCTACTAAATAATTGTAACGATTTTGTAGCTGCTTCACGCCGTGTCAAAGTCTACGGGATAGAGATATTAAAAGTAATTTCAGCAAATGTAAGGTAAATAAAATAAATTATGAAAACACTTTACAATTTCAGGTTTAGTATTTTTATTTATATATTCGGCCCAAGTTTTCAAACTCAAGGACCTGAATTCATGTGGTAATGAAGTTTCGTTCCATATCTAGTATGCATAGAAACTTTAGCTAAGTAAAATCCATTCAAATTCGTAAAATTCTAATTTATCATTGCCAAAAGTCATTTACCTCAGCCGTTAAAGCTCCCAAAAGTATTAATGTAGCTTCTATTATGGATGAACTCTTTAATTTTTCCATATATCTGAACAATTTTTTACAAAATTCTTCCAAATCTAACCTAATTGAAAGTTGCTGAGATGATATTAAATTTGATTTTGGAAATGGATAGTCCGGGTTGATTAATATAAGTAACTCTACTATGAGTTGAATGCACTTCGGGTATCGTTCTTCATGATATATCATTGTAATTAATTTTGATTGAATCATTGACATAACGCTGCTTTTAAAGTGCAAATATAGCAAATATTAAATATGGAAGTAAATTAAATAATCAGCTATATAAACTAGAAAGCATCATGCTAAAATAGCAGTATTTATAGTGATTATAAGTTGTCACTTTATTAAAACTTATCAAAAAATGTACCTTGTACCGATATGTATAACGTCCATCTCAAGAAAATATTCCAAAAGCATTTCAAGAACAGTAACTCTAACTTCATATTCTTCATCACTCAAGATATTTATCATAATTTCATTCCTTTCTGTTGTGTCTTGATTCAACAACGATTTAATTATCACTTTTGAAATTTGTTGTCGAATTAGGAAATTTCCAATTTTCAGAGTAGCATCAGATTTGTCAAAAAGATTTGATACAGAAAAATCAAATAGGGTTTGTCTCATTTT